TATAAATTATTTTAAAAATGTACCTCACCTGGCTTTACTATAAGGGCCATGCCAGTTTATGCTAGGTGCAGCGTCCTTTGTTCATCTATTTGTCTGTTAGGCATTAACATTTCAATCAAATACTTCTGGGACCAGGATAACTGCTATAGGTGTAGGACTATGATATTTGGCTTGTACCATATCATGCTGTGATGAATACTTTCAAGGAGATAGGGTCAAACAAGCCTAGAATATTTATACAATGCCTTCTCAATAACCAAAAGGCTACAAAATGGGCCCATTCAAACGAGTGTTATATGTTTAAATATTTAAATGCTTCTTCTTACTAACTGAAAGGCACGTGGTTATAACATACACATTTTCCATGAAGCCCACTGAAAAATGACAGTCACTCCTTTACATGTTATTGAAAGAATAGGTTTATAACCATTTTAAAAACTAGTACTAATATTCATACTATGTCTCCTCTGTTACAGTTGGACGCAATATATAAAACAGCTCCCACTGTTAGAAGCCACGTTATCCCAGCTATTCACAAAAAAACATGTATTGAAACAGAAAAAACAGGGAGGGGTTGAAACTTTGACCTTAGAATATTTTTTTTTTAATATGCAAATTACCTATAAATACTGTTGAAATGATGTTATGCACGTCACTTAGGACGCAGTTAAAGGAAATTGTATGGAAGAAATTGGTGAGTTTACCAGGTTTTTCATGTCAAATAAATCACAAAGCAAGGATAAAACATTTTCCTCATTTTGCATATAAATATTTAGGTCACCTATGAGCATAAAATGATGATATTGAGTACTGATCTTGTCTAAACCAATACTCAAATCTAAAACAATGTACGTATTAAACATGTCGCAACGTTTTAAGACCGACTGGTCCTTTGTCGAGCTATGACTGACTCAGCGATTTGTATTTATTTTCCTATAAAACGATGTGACGAAATAGTATAATTTGTATGACACTCGGCTCGAGAAGTTTCGCCTATCAATAGGGAGCATATACACACTGCATCAGATTGGTTACAAGTAGGGTGTTGATCTAGACCCCTCCCCTGTTATATCAGTATCGGGTCACACAAATTACTCAGCTCTTGCGTGTGGATCTGGTAAATGTAATGCTGCTCATTTCTCTACGTCCTTTTGATGTTCCTTCAGACGTGTGCCAAATTTCCTCCCAGTTTGACTGCTGACAATTTTTGCACTGAATTTGATATTCAACTCCGATTTGTCTAAAATGTCAGTCCTGTCTTTGGTGCACCAGTAATTGTCTGAGTGTTGTCGGTGGTCTCATCGGGGTGCTGAAATGGAATTGCCACATTACCCAGGCAGACACCTCAGATATCCCCTTCACGTACAGTATAGTGACCCAGCTTTTGCATTTGGTTTGGCTCTCATTTCTTTTCCTCTGTCTCGGGTTTCTATTTTCTGTCTTTTCTTTTACATCTCTTTTCACTTTGTCAATTGACCACTCGGGGTAGACACAACGGTTGCATGCGTCTTGTATGTCCTGTTCTGTGATGATAGTGTTGCATTTGTCAAGTAATGTACGTAGGACTCCAAGCTTTTGGTGTAGTGGATGGTGGGGATCCAAATCAGCCAAATACTGATCGGTGTGTGTCGGTAAACGGTACACTAATAGTTTGATTGTGCCGGGTTTTTGTTGCGGACGATGAGCGTGTCCAAGGGTGGTATGGTTCCATCATTTCCCTCCTCATGGGTAAATTTAATGGAACTGGAATAAAAGATATACAAGTTAGTGACATCGTTGTATAGGTAAAACAAAATATAAAACGCTCACTCAGTCATAGCTTGACAAAGGGACCAATTGGTCTTGAATCGTTGCGACACGGTTAATACGTACATTGTTTGTGTAGAAAGTGAAACTTTGATTTCACATATTTCCAAACTGACGAATCTTATTGAAGATATTTGACGGCGGGTTCTACTGTTAATTTTCAGTTATATCACTATGGACTCCACTAACTCCAAGTCTGTCCTCTGTCTACAGGGTAGGTTTGAGTTTACACAACACACGCGTCCTCCTCCATCATATGATCTATCTGTAGCCGCTAACTCCAAGTCTGTCCTCTGTCTACAGGGTAGGTTTGAGTTTACACAACACACGAGTCCTCCTCCATCATATGATCTATCTGTAGCCGCTAACTCCAAGTCTGTCCTCTGTCTACAGGGTAGGTTTGAGTTTACACAACACACGAGTCCTTCTCCATCATATGTTCTCTCTGTAGCCGCTAACTCCAAGTCTGTCCTCTGTCTACAGGGTAGGTTTGAGTTTACACAACACACGAGTCCTTCTCCATCATATGTTCTCTCTGTAGCCGCTAACTCCAAGTCTGTCCTCTGTCTACAGGGTAGGTTTGAGTTAACACAACACACGAATCCTCCTCCATCATATGATCTATCTTTAGCCGCTAACTCCAAGTCTGTCCTCTGTCTACAGGGTAGGTTTGAGTTTACACAACATACGAGTCCTCCTCCATCATATGATCTATCTGTAGCCGCTAACTCCAAGTCTGTGCTCTGTCTACAGGGTAGGTTTGAGTTTACACAACACACGAGTCTTCCTCCATCATATGATCTATCTTTAGCCGCTAACTCTAAGTCTGTCCTCTGTCTACAGGGTAGGTTTGAGTTTACACAACACACGAGTCCTCCTCCATCATATGATCTATCTGTAGCTACTAACTCGTAGTATGTCCTCTGTCTACAGGGTAGGTTTGAGTTTACACAACCCACGAGTCCTCCTCCATCAGATGATCTATCTGTAGCTACTAACTCGTAGTATGTCCTCTGTCTACAGGGAAGGTTTGAGTTTACACAACATTCGAGTCCTCCTCTATCATATGATCTATCTGTAGCTACTAACTCCAAGTATGTCCTCTGTCTACAGGGGAGGTTTGAGTTTACACAAAACACGAATCATCCTCCATCATATGATCTATCTTTAGCCGCTAACTCCAAGTCTGTCATCTGTCTACAGGGTAGGATTGAGTTTACACATCACACGAGTCTTCCTACATCATATGATCTATCTTTAGCCGCTAACTCCAAGTCTGTCATCTGTCTACAGGGTAGGATTGAGTTTACACATCACACGAGTCTTCCTACATCATATGATCTATCTTTAGCCGCTAACTATAAGTCTGTCCTCTGTCTACAGGGGAGGTTTTAGTTTACACAACACACGAGACCAACTCCATCATATGATCTATCTTTAGCCGCTAACTCTATGTCTGTCCTCTGTCTACAGGGAAGGTTTGAGTTTACACAACCCACGAGTCCTCCTCCATCATATGATCTATCTGTTGCCGCTAACTTGGAATAATGAGTGTTTAAAAGAATCATTCAATTTAGTTTTTCTAACGAAAATAATGTTTGTTATTGAGTTTAGAAGAATCTCGGACGGGTCATTGGGTTAGTAGCGTATACTGTTAATGTAGGATAAATCTGTCAGGCTAGGTTTGGCTAGATTCATACATTCAACCACAAACGTGTCAATACATTTACGGTGAAACCAATAGAGGGAGTTGCTACACCGAACCCAATGTCGGTTGCTTCTAACTGTTTTCTCACAGCTACCGCAGGGAAATGTAACTTGGCCTGAGTAAGGTAAACATGTAAACTGGATTTATTTTACAACACTTATGAAACAAGTTATAACAATGTATATCAATCACGTTTGTTGTCCTGGATGGAAGCGTGCAAGGCCTATTTATGTTGGAGGAAACCGGGCTGGTGACCAAATTATTTTTCACGTCCAATCGGGGCGTCGAATCACGATCGTCCTGATGAAAGGCTAGTTTGATATCCACTGCGCCACCCGATAACAATAAGGGTCCATAAAAGAATGTTTTTGTGTTCCTCTTGGACGGTTATGTACGCCGGACGTTTCCCGGGTACGTAGTAATCACCATGGAGGCTGGTGGCTACCACCAATACCTTATGTTTTTGTATACATGTATATACAATCATTGGGGTTTACTTTCTCCATACAATTTTTAACTCTTTTATTCTTAATTAGACTACTATGTTTTTGGTTTTCAAATAAGTTCCACACAATGAAGTTTATATTTTCAACAGTTTTGTTGAAATTCTATTGTTATAACTATGGCTGTATTAAATATTGATCATGACGTTAATGGTGTAAGTTTTAATTTTATGACGTTTATAACAGTTAATTTTGCCGTATTTTATTTATATCACGTCTTTGATTAATCAACAAATACATCAATTATATGTAAAAGTAAAGAGCGTTATGGGGCGACATATGCAACATCGATTAGGGCTAACATAACAGAATAAACGCTTACGATGATCACGATACTTTGCAACGTAATGGTAATAACATGAACTGCCTCACCTTTATTCAAATTGAAGTGTCTGACATTTTACAGAAGTCTATTAATATGTTACTGAAACAGATATGGTATCTTCTCTATCTTCCTCTTAAATGGCAAGGCTTAACGCACTGTTCCTATGATGGTACCTCTATAGCATCATGCTAAATACCCTTCCCTAACCAGAGGTGTCAATGTGTGGTCACCGCACCGTATTGGACAGGTTCTGCTTCTTTTACTGAAAGCACGTGTATGCTAAAATAGGTTTGTTTTAATATGCAGAAAATATAAAACAAAAATGACATTCAACCACGATTGGGATGTGACAACCGTTTTAAGGCAGCCCCTGGAACATTTCGATATTTCGTTTCAAATTAAGTGTTATATGTTTTTATAGGGAAAAAAACAGTTGGAGAGGAACCTTAGGGTTTTAATGATGTATAATTTGATAAAACAAGTCATCTGCTTTACAGTGGTACCATTTAATTATGTTCAATTAACCTTAAGATGATGTGATTCCGTGTGGAAAGCTTCCTACTGACCTGGTATTTTTCATCTTATAGCAAGGTCTACACAGTGTTATCTGTATTAAAGTCCGCTTACCGAGAAACCCCGACAGGTCCTATCAGTCGGGGTGTGTTATTAAAGTGACACCGGTCACTGACTGAACTTTGTGTCGGCGGCCTTGTTTTTGCTCTCTCCTCAGCGATGTCTAGTCTAGCCGATAAGGTTGTGATCATCACAGGTTTGTTTGTAACCTTGTTACTCAGTAATGTGTTCGACTAACACACAATGCATGGTGCAGGTATAACTATAATTATTAACAACTCCACTGCTTCTATATTTAGAACCCTATTCATGCCTACTTACTTAGTTGATATAAGTTTGGGTTAAGTTTTTAAGACGGAACAAAACCTTGGTTGATATAAATTTGGGTTATGTTTTTAAGACGGAACGAAACATTATAACTTGCATATGTTTCTAGCTATCTATCAGATTCTGTTTTATATCATAAAAATAATGAAAACGTTATGCACCTCCTATAGTGAAGTATGAATCATACTTTTCCTTTATTATATTACATTGTATCACGTCATATAATCTTTAATGGCGAGTGCAAGCGCTATTTTACTTTCGAACTTTGAGAGAAATAGTTATTTCTTTCATCTTTTATGAGATTAAAAGGAATTAAAAAGGTTAATTGCTGTTGGATTAACGTATGTTTGAACTTCTCGTCCTCTGCTTACCAGCATACCATGTGACATTGAAGTGTTCATTTATCATTC